GTGGTGGCGCACGCCTTTAATCCCAGCACTCGGGAGGCAGAGCCAGGCGGATCTCTGTGAGTTCGAGGCCAGCCTGGGTTACCAAGTAAGTTCCAGGAAAGGTGCAAAGCTACACAGAGAAACCCTGTCTCGAAAAATCAAAAAAATAAAAAAATAAAAAAAAATAACCTTCAGAATGAAAGTTTTTTTTTTTTTTTCATTTTTGCCTACCAGCTGGAAAAACTACAAACTCTGCATCTCCATGTCTGATGTCGAAAAACTCTTCAAATCTCCCACTCCTTTCAGATTTGTTGACTGCAACTCACTTCTTTCTTTTGGGCTAGTTCCACTCCCGGTTAGTAGCTTTCCTCAGTAGGTATTTCATGACTCTGGCATCTCTAATATCTTGGGAGTCTCCAAGGCAATCCAGGCTTCTCCTTCACAGCTTCACGCAATGGCCTCTTTAGGTCTTCATTCAGGGATGCCCCTGACACATGCCTGGCCTCAGCAGCTTTCCTTAGTCATGAGGCAAATTCCATAGTCTGTTTCTTCTGTCCTTAACTCTAAATCCAGAAACACATGGCTGAAACTGCCAAGTTCTGTTGCTTGCTGGGGCTGGAACATGGCTCCCTTGTTCAATCACATCTTCACCAGCTTTCTATTTTTGATTATTACCTTCACTGCCTAAGCTTAGCTGTCCTAAAACTGAATCTCTAGACCAGGCTGGCCTCAGACTCATAAATCCACCAGCCACTACCTTCCCAGTGATGGGATCAAAGGCGTGTACCACCACATCACCACACTAGGCTCTAAACTTTCCTTTAATTCCTTTTCAGAAGTTGGAAACTTAGCTGGGTGAGATCTTGCCCGGAGGTCACTTTTCCCTCTCTTCCATTTCTTAATCTATGTATCTCCTTGAACACAACACTTCATTCCTTTTCTCCTCAAATTTTACATTTTCTTGATCCTTTTCAATATAAATCTTCATTATAGTTACCACCAATAACCACACAACAGAGTCTATATTAGGCTGTTTTGAGATTCCCTCTACCAAGGAAATTAATCCAAAACTCTTCACGTTAGCCTCAGACAGACTCTTCTGACAAAGCCAAAACGCAGCCATTTTCTTCACCAAATATCACAAGAATGATCTCTGGGCAACATACTAAAATTCTTCTCCGAAACCTCTTCACTGAACCCCCAACAGTTCAAATAACTCCTAGCACCTCTGTCTTCCAGGGGCCATAAGCAGTGCTTAAAGCATTCCACTGCTTTCATAACCCAAAGTATCAAAGTCTTAAGTCCTCCAAACACAAACATGGTCAGGCCTGTCACAGCAATACCTCAGTCCCTTGTAGCGCCCGCGCTACTACCCGTTCACCATGTCCGAGTGAGGGGCTGAGGATTAAAACAGAGACAAGACAGCAGGTCATTCGTCTCAGCAGAATGCCCTTTATTGAAGGAGGGAAGAGGCCTTAAATACAGGCTTACAGCACACTGGGAGAACCCTGGAGGGCAGAAGTTAACTACAGATGTTTTACATACTTGCATCCTAGCTGTTTACACCAATATGCAGGATACACAAACAAGGAACCTCCGGTAAGCTGTGTAGGAGGAAGGAAACCGGCAGGGAATTAGCATAAGGAGGACATCTTATCAAGGTCAGCAAGCAAGGCAGCAGCTACCTAAGGAACATGGGTCAGGGCCCAACAATCCTTGGTACCAACTTCTGTCTTAGTTAGGTTTTTGTTGCGATAGAGTCACTGTGACCACGGCAACTCTTAAATGAAGACATTTAACTGGCATGGCTTGCTTATAGTTCAGAGTACAGTTATCGTCATAGTGGGGAGCACAGCAGTGTGCAGGCAGACACGGTGCTGGAGGAGGAGCTGCTGAGAGTCCTACATCTTGCAAGCAACAGGAAGTTGACTGTCACACTGAGGGAAGCTTGAGCAGAAGAGGCTTCAAAGCCCGCCCCTACAATGACACACTTCCTCCAACAAGGCCACACCCACTCCAACAAAGCCACAGCTCCTAATGGTGCCACTCTCTATGGAGTCCATTTTCTTTCAAACCACCACATATAGTTACACATACCTGTCATCATTCCACTCTGAAGGTAGAGGCAGGAGGATTCGGAATTCAAGTCTAGCCTCAACTATGTAGTGAGTTTCAGGCCAGCCCGGACTACATTAGACCCTATGTCCTCTCATTTTCCTAAGGGAAAATATTCTTTATAATTAATGTATCTTTCAACTTCTTTCACATATTTTAAGGGTTGGCTATTTCTCCTTTTATTATTATAAAATATGGTTTCTGTGTCTTATCTAGTATTAATGACAGATGTTATCATCTCTTAGTGTTCACCACAATACTATGTGAATGATTGATTGCTATTTACTGAGTTAACTGTCTACTGTAATCATAAAGTTTGGAAGGGATTGAAAAGGCAGAACTATCTGTGAGACAAGAAACACTTGGATTCTAGTCAGTCACAACAGAAAACTGGCAAATATTAATTCCCACATAACAGTGCAGGTTTCTACTTACTCTCTTTTTAAGCATTCATGCCTAAAAACCAAGAAAAAAGAAAAAGAAAAACATTTATAAAGTACAGACACTTGAAGCTGAGTGTGACTGTGTTCAACACTTTAGAACTTCCCCTGCATTCTCACGTGTTTTCTGTCATTTTAGTCCCCCCAGTAGTCTGTGAAGGAAGTGGCATTCCCCTTTTAGGATTGGGAAAACTGAGTAATATACATTACTTTAGCATAGTTATATGCATTTGTCATTGGAATTGTAGGGCTGACATTTTATTTAAACCTGCTTTGGTCTTCTGATACTTTTCTCACTTGACAACTTTCTATTATCTGAAGAAGTCAAACCCAAACTGGATTTGGTGAGACATTCCTGTTCAAGAGGCTGAGGTGAGAGGATTGCCATAACTTACATAGTGAATTCTAGGCCCAGTTGGGATATAGAGTGAAACTCTGTCTCAAAAAAAGGCAAGCCCCCACAAGAGCCCTACTTCCTTCTCCAATACTGGAAAGTTCCACGTCTGGAGTGGCTGTGGGTGATGCCTCTATCCTGGGTCACAGCTCCTGTGTCTTCTGACAACTTAGTTTTGAACATTGACCCTGTGGACTCCAGCTACTCCACTGTCTCTCTGTTCATTTACACAGCTTTCTGTGTGTCCGTCCTAACAGTAGCCACATTTGTACGTTAGCTTGTCTACTTGCTGGCATCCGTGATCTGCTTTTCTTGTGTTTGTTCCACGGTCCCAGTGGGAGTTTTGGATAAGTGTGTACCTCAAACCTCCCACAGCCAGTACAGGTGTTTGAAGACTTCCGTTGTGGAGAAGCTCTACTGTGTGTAGATCTGCAGGATGTTAATATATGTAATAGAATTTTATCCGAAGAGGGGCATCAGAAGAATAAGCTTTCAGCTGCACACCCTTCCAGTTGGATGCTGTTGAGGGACATCTTCTCAAAAGACAGTAAAGCAGGATGTGTTGTTCTTCCACTTCCTCTGCGATGCCGTTGTTCAACTTCTCACATCTCTGTGTTATCTGGTCTCTTGGTTGGCATGTCTCTTGTCTGTTTTTCTTGAGTTTGGCTTAAGAACCATTTAGTTCTTGGTCATCATAGTGTATCCTAAGAGTCGAAAACATTGTGGTCACTACGTACACAGTTACTGAGACAAAGGGAGATGGTGGAAGGGTGAAGGCAAGAGCTAAAGAGAGAGAGAGTACAAACCAGAGAGAACTGTGGCTGAGCACACAACAAGAGACTGGATATAAAATTGGCAGTCATTGGAACATGACATGCAGTCAACCTGTGCCCTCTGGATACCCTCTTTGGAGGCTGTTTGCTGTGTACCAATATGCTCTGCCTCTTCCAGCTCTAACCTATAGGACTTCAAGTTAAAGGCTGAGTGTATGGAGCACTAAGTTACAGGAGCCTTTTGTGTGGTTGCCCATTTCATGCTGTGGATTCACTTTCATGTAATTTGCAGCTTGTTACAGGATCCATAAGGCTGGAAGTGAAGCACTCAGTTATATACTTAGAGTACTCGGGCAGACACAGCAGCATCACAGAGTATCTCTCTCTAAGCTTACATGCCCAAAGGGAGCTGTGGCAGTAACCACAGCCGGGACACAGGTACCGTGTCGTCTGGAGACTTCTCTTGAGGATACGCTGTACTGTGTCCAGATCTATTAGTATATAGACATGAGCAGTAAATTTCATCATAAAAGGAGTATGAGGTGCGTAACTGCTAACACAAAGCATATCAGTTTAGTGACATCCAGGAGAAAACCCAATACAGAATAAGATATGCTCCTGGATCTCTCTAATTGTCACCCTTAATGTCAGCCCTTCAGTACAGGGAGGACCCTGTGTCTCACCCAGGACCTTGTACACAGTAGGAAAAGTTTTGGGGGCCTAATTTTCTCAGACCTTCTACAGGCAAGTAACAGTGGCCCTGGAATGATCCTCTGGAAATTTAAAAATATATGTAAATCTGCATGGTAAAATTTACTAAAAATTAGCTCTTTGAGCTATAATTTCTTTTTTATAAAATAATTCATGTTTCTTTGTCTTTTGTTGCAGTCCTGAAGAATATTCTTACATATAATAAAGAATTCCCATTTGATGTTCAGCCTATTCCATTAAGGTAAATGAGTATTCATATTCATCTTCTCTTACTGTCTTCTTTATACCTGTTTTACAGATACATCTGTTGTCTGTTGTTTTACCCACTTTGGTATCTTTGATATGGTTGATATCAACATTGATAACAATATTTCAACCTCTTAACAATACTCACATCCTGTGGAACAGCTGTGAGGCTTTGTTGGTATATTAAATATTCTAGCTCAGTGTTTAGTTTCTCTCTCTCTCTTCCATGCAGACGGATTTTAGCACCTGGTGAAGAAGAGAATTTGGAGTTTGAAGAAGATGAAGAAGGTGGTGCTGGGGCAGGACCTCCTGACTCGTTCTCTGCTAGAGTTCCTGGTGGGCATCCTTACACAGCACATGCGCTGCTTTATCCAGCAGGACCTTGGAACTTGTGGTGGTGTTTGCTAGTGGAGAGGAAAACCTCTCCTGAGCCCTTGCCAGCTGTAAGCAGAGTTCCATGGCTGGGCCTCTGTCAGTGGATAAACAGGGTGAAAGGATCCTCTGTTAGTGGTCCTCAGAACACATGCTCAGAGATTCACTGAGACTCACGGCTATAAGGTACTGCAGGAGAACACAGGAGCAAAGTTAGCCAAAGGAAGAGGCACATGGACCAAACCAGAGGACAGTGAATGCAGATTCCAAAGCCCTTGCCCTGTGCTTCCAGCCACAAGGGCAGTATTTAATTCCTACTGTAACAAATTGTGGCAGCATTGTGAAAGGTGAAATGACTACTTAGAGATTCAGCACACATGGCTGCTATTGGTAACTGATCAGAGTCATTTTCTACCTACTATAGACCAAAATTATAGGTTTCAGAAGGAAAGAGTGTCAGCACAAGCCATACTGTTCACACAAACAAGTGCAGCGGACCTCTGGCAAACACAGCTGAAGCGCTCGCTTGTGGGCTACACAGTGAATTGCTCAATCCCCATATTAAAGAAAGAACCTCAAGGCACATTTTCCTTTTCTTTAAATTCATTTATCAGATTATCAGTGGGCTTCACCTGGGGCAGTTCAGGTGTTGTAAGATGAAGAGAGCAGATGGAAATCTTCATCAGATCCAAGATCCCAAATGCCAGCCACAGGCCAAGCTCTGTCCTGGCCTGCAGTATCAGCCTGTCTCTGTCTTACATAATCAGTCTTTAACCAAATTGTGGTTGGGAGAAGTAGGCCCAGGTGGGCAGACCCTTATCATTTCCATCATCTAAGGGGAATGAAGGGTATAGAGTGAGCCTTTTCTGTTTGTGGAAGAGCTTGGGTGAGGCTCTTCCCTCCCTGTGAATATAAACAGCTTTAGGGAAATTACACATAGTAGCCGTTACTGCTGACAGCCCTTCTTGGGCACAAGACATCATTTCTGGTCTGTTTTGCTTCTGAAAACACATGCTCGTTTTTTTGTTTTGTTTTGTTTTAATTTTATTAGATTTATTCATTTTTTTAAAATGTCATGTGTGAGTGTTTTGCCTACATGTATGTGTGTATGTGCACCACATGCATGCCTGGTGCCTGTACTACCACTGGCCACTACCACTATTAAGTACAATTTTCTATAGGCTTTTTTAAAAGCACAGACTGAAGAAAGGGACTGAGAAATTTGACTGTGTTAGCATGAAGTTTCTCCTAGAAGACACCATTACAGAGCAGAGTCATCTGAACAGCCTGAGCTGTGGTCTGTGTGTTGGACGGCAGCAGCGCAGGCTGTCTCAGGGAGAACGATTAGAGAGGTGTGTGGGGTGTGGACGCAGATGGGGCCCTAGCATGCTGGTTTGTTTCCTTCATGCTCTGGTGCTGCCGACATAGGTGTGTCCGTATGGTGACATTCAGCAAGCTGCATTTCAAATTTAGGCATTCAAAATGTATAGTTTATGTTTTAGTGCAATGTTTTTTTAAAAGAAAACCACTATTAAGCTCTTTATAAGACATACAACCAGAGCTTTTTCTAATGTGTTAGAGATCTCCTACAACTTAATAAGGAAAGAACATTTCAACGGAAATGTCGGCAAAATAAAGGAGAAAAACCAAGTGCATGATCTAATAGAAAGCTGTGACTCCCTGTTAGCTGTCAGAGACCATACAAGTGATGGCTAGGTCAATGCCTCACCACACCTAAATTGATTCAAGTTTCATCTGAGAAACAAAGTGCCTGAGGATTTCAACAGCACTAACGTGGCTGCACTGTTGGCAGGGACAGAACTGGAACATCCACTGTAGGAGCTGATGTTGTAATTAGCACAGACCATGTGTCTTAATAATTCCTGTTTGAGAGAAGTTTGTACCAGAATATGTTCACCAGTGTGTATATAGTAGTATTAAAAAAAAAATTAAAAATTGATCAACTCAGCTGTCCATGAACAGAAGATAGTGCATTAATTTCATCATTTATCTAATAAATTTTATATAGTTGCATGAACCTTTTTGCAGAAGAACACAACTAAATGTAAGTACTCCCATCTCTTTCCTAAGATTTCCAAGGTGTGTCTTACCCTTCTGAAGTTTGTCTGAGTTCAGTGAGACGCACTCATCTGTAGGTGCTGCCTGTACCTGTAACCAGACAGTCAGAGGCCATGCAGACAGTCTTGGGAATTTTTGTGTGTGTGTTCAGAATTACTCCTGTCCCATTGAGTTTCGTGAATGAACACTGCAGTGAGGCCATCTGCCACTCTTCATTTTCTGTGTTGTCTTGGTATTTAAACTAGGGAGTAAGGATAGGAGCTAGGTGTGGTATTTTGTGCCTATCATCTAGCACATGGGGACTGAGCTTGGAGGGTTGCCTTGAGTGTGAGGTCAGGCTGGGCTATAGGATGAGACCTGTCCCCCAAATCAAACACCAAACCCACAAAAAAAGTTAACACATTTTAAAACTATTGTTTTTAATAGCATTATTATAATATTCATATAAAATTTACCTACTGTTTGGTGATTCTTGATTTATAGAGAATCTATCTAGAATTTATAAGTTTTTGATTTATAAAGTGGTGACATCCGTGACCACCTTCCAGTTTACAACATTTCCATTGCCCTCTACCCCCAGTTTCCTCAACACCTGTTCACTGTCAATCAGATGTTCATTTTGGAAGGTACTGAATCATGATCTCCAGATTCTTCATTATTGAAAGTAGGATAGTACATTGCTGAACAGAAAGGAAAGATACCAGCCGAAAATCCTACCTAAGTATTGTGTTCTGTATGTGGTTTAACTTACTGCACACACACTGAATTAAAATTGACCATTTTCTTGAGGGTTTGGGATGCTGCTCTCTTGGGTGGGTTTTAGTTTTGTTTTATTTTGTGTTTTTCGAGGGGGGTTGTGTGTAGTATATGCGTGCCTGTTGCGTGCCCCTAAGTTGTGGGTACATGTGTCCATGCACACAGATTTGCAGGCCAGAGCAGACTGTGGCATGTACTCAGCTGCAGCAGCCTCTGCTTTATGCCTGGAGGCAGGCTCTGAACCGGACTCTCAGCATCTGGGATTGGGCCTCCTCTGCCCTCCTCCCCCTGTGCAGTCATGTGCAGCTGTTTTCACAGGTGCTGGGTGTTCAAGGTCAGCTTGCAGAGAAAGCACACTGACCCACTGAGCCAGGTGTCCAGCCTTTAGCTTTACAAATGTAATTGGTGAATGGAAATGTTTCAGACACTCAAATCACTCTTACAGTTTGATGTTGCCATTCCCTCTAGTACTGACTTCTAAGAAAATATTATGCAGAATAGGATGAGGAATAGAGTAGGAAATTAGGCTTTAATAATCTAATAATTGAATCTATGAATACTAAGCTATAAATTAGTAGTAACTGAAGGATTTTCTGGTCTACTCTCAAACTTCTTAAGCTTCAGGATAACAAAATACTTAAAAATTTTTCTGTCCTTTTTCTACAAGGTCATATTGAGATATGAGGTACATCTTTACAAGTGCACTGAATGTATCTATTCTGTGGACATGCTATATTATTGATTTCATGGTAGCTTAGAATTGGGCTTCCTTGAGTAACATGAATTTTTAACATGCTTGCCTTAATAATTCTGCTTTTATGGTGTCTGTGGAGTATGGAGTGCAGGTTTATCTTGGATGTAATTAAATATATAGTCACAGAGAATAACACCAAGCTAGGTGTGGTGACACTTGCCTATAATCTCCATTCTCAGGAACCTACGGACATCCTAAAAAACAAAAAAGGAATGATACAGTGTTTGAGAGTGCTAGGAAGCAAACTGCACTGCCTGCCTGGTTGCTAAGTTACAGGAAGCCTGTGTCTCTTCACTCTGGAATTGTCGCTGGCCTAAGTTTTCTTGTGGTTTCTCTGTTGCCAGGCACTTTATTGCCCCGGTTGCCGTCCGAACCAGGGATGACGTTACTCACTATCAGAATTGAGAGAATCGGTCTGAAAGATGCGGGGCAGTGCATCGATCCCTACATTACAGTCAGCGTGAAGGGTGAGGAGCTCTGGGGCTGGTTTCTCTTCTGCAGATGTCATACTGCCTTCCACTTGGAACAGTTGTTCTTAGAGCGGTGGCTCCCATGTCTGAAGCAGCTCATTGTAATTCGTTCTATAATGATGGAAGTCCCTGGAATTGGTCTTTACTCCTTCAGAGAACGCTTCTGATAGATTTAATAAACAGTGTTAATGTATAGCTTAGACTCACTTTTACTTTTGAGCTTGTCTTTGTTTCTTTTTATATTTCATACTCCAGACCCATCTAGGGAGCTGTCTAGCCATGCCCAGTCCCCTTAGCAGCAGAGACAGTGTCCAGGACACAGAATTAGCCTCCCCTTCCACAGGGATGTAGTTGAACAGCCCTCTGTTTCCTACGGCAGGTCTCTGTCAGGTGGGTGCTGCAGTGGAGGGTGGAAGTAAAGGCCGGGAAGAGGGTCTGTCCAGACATCTAGACTCTGGGAGCCCTTGCAGGACAGGAAAGAAAGTTGTCAGAGTTAGAAAGTGTGAAGAGTGGCCACACGGTTCAAGTGTTTTGTTTCTGCCGTACCTAGTATACAGGACTTTCTTTTCAATGCATTTAGTCTTAAAAGTAATTTTTAGGTGTCAGGCATGATGAAGCATGCCTGTGATCCCAGTTTCTAGGTAGCTGAGGCAGGAGACTCACTTGAGCCCAACTTTGGGGAACACACAACAAGATACTATTTAAAAAAATTAATAAGAACAGTTATTATTGAATCAGTAAGGATAAAGTCATCATTATCTAGAAATAAATCCACAGTTAATGCAATTGGTTACCATTAAGCTGCAGTTTGAAGCTAACCAAAGAACCAGATGTGGGCTCAAAGAAAATGGAGGCAACTTGCATCGTTTGTAGAAATAAACTCACACCCATAGGTTCATTAGTAACAATTAAGCTAACAAGGAATTTAGCCACCGAGGAAACTTTAATAAGCATAGACCAAGAATGACAGCACTAGTGAGGGTTACACTTTAAAGCAGTGGTTCTCAGCCTTCCTAACGCTGCTACTCTGTAATACAGTTCCTCATGTTGTGGTGACCCCAACCATAACATTATTTCATTGCTACTTCATAACTGTAATCTTGCTACCATTATGAATGATAATGTAAATATCTGATATGCAGGATATCTGATATGTGACCCCTATGAAATGGTGTTTTAACACTCCTAAAGGCGTCACAATCCACATTTTGAGAGCCACTGCTTTAAGAGACAGACAGCTATCAAGTGTGCAAAGTATTTGTACTCTATACATTGTGTGATAGACCATTTACAAAATGATATAACTCATTCAGGAAGGTACTTGGTAAAACATGACATATTGAATGATAAGTGGTAGGGGCTAAGTTACCTTTGCATGTTTGTTGAACTGAAACAGGATTTTGTATAAATGTCTTTAAGAACTTCAATAATCAGATGTACCAAATTACTGTAGATTCCTAAGACATCTTTGTTGAATAATAAATATATAGACACAGATTTGTTAAAGAAACCTAATGAAGAATTTGATTAGGTGGGGTTCCTGGATCCAAGAAATTAAAGCCATACCATCTACTTGTAGTAAATCAGTTATATTTTAGGAAACATAACCAGAATGTAGGTTCTACTTATAAACTTCTTAACTGATGAAAGGAATTTCTTTGACAGCTTCATGCCCGTCTGACTTGAGTAGAGAAGAGGAGTTCTGACTTAATTCTAGATTTAAAGTTTTTCCATCCATGCCCTTGATCATTGTTGCAAAATAGGGGTTGAGGGCCCCATTGTAGCAAGCTGTATTCAGTGCAGATTCTCACTGCACATAATAGAGTGGCCTGTGTGCTCAGGAAACAGGAAGTTCTGTCCCCTCTTAAAGATCCAATTTGACCTCCTGCAAACTTACTTTTCCCCTCTCTGTGGCCTGCCACCTCTCACTTCAACTGCCCCCACACACCCACGGACAGCAGCAGTTCCAAAGCCCCTGTTCATACAGAGGGCCGCCCTGTGAGTTCTGAAGCCCTCCCCAATCCCACTTCTGCAGGAAGTGTGGCCTGGGGAGTCTTAAATGTGATTGCCTCTAAGTGGAAACTTGTTTCTCTCTAGATTTGAATGGCATAGATTTAACTCCTGTACAAGATACTCCTGTGGCTTCAAGAAAAGAAGACACATATGTTCATTTTAATGTGGACATTGAGCTCCAGAAACATGTTGAAAAATTAACCAAAGGTTTGTGACCATAATCTTTGTTTTCCTGTGGATAGCACTCACTTGGGAGGGTGTGCACAGTGGTCCCATCATAGTTCACATCTGGCAGAAGTCAGTGTCACCTGGTTAGTTGATTTGAAGAAATCCAAATAGTAATGGTTTTTAAATGTTGAAATTAGGTAGTGTGTTATATAATGACACTAGAATATAATGTTCTTTAATAGTAAAATTTTAGGCCTGGGAGATGGCTCAGTAGGAGGACCTGAGCTAGGTTCACCGCACCATGTAAAAGCCAGGCATGGCAGCTTGCCAGTGCTGGGAGCTAAAGACAGATGAGGTTTGCTGCTCAGCCAGGCTAGCTCCGGGTTCAGTAAGAAACCCTGTCTCAAAAAGTGATATAGGAAACGGATTAAGGAAGATACTGACATTAACCTCTTGCTTACTGCATAGGCGCGCGCGCACGCGCGCGCGCACACACACACACACACACACACACACACGACAGTTTTTCTCTTTTTGATGAGTGGGGAAGCTGGAACTCCTGATGGTGCTCTAACCCCTTCCTTCCACTTGGATCCACTGAGTAGAAAAGTACCAGAACTTGCAGTTCACTGGAGGGGAGGTGGGAAGAGAGAGCCGCCTTTTAGCACGGTGACGTTGCAGTGCCGGCCTAGCCCAGGTCTTAGCAGGAATACTTGCAGTTGCCTTTGCCCGCCCGCCTG